GAACGTAATTCCTTTGCACTGTCCTGTTCATCTTCTCTTGAAGACCAAATAATTTCTTTTGCTTCTATTCATCTCCTTCTTGATATATTATTTTCAATAAAAGACGTTTCTTGAAGAGTAAAAGGAAATAGCAATCAATTTCTCGACTTCGTAGTGACTCCAATCAATCAATGTGGCATATAGTTGAAATTTTCAATAAAAGACGTTTCTTGAAGAGTAAAAGGAAATAGCAATCAATTTCTCGACATCGTAGCGACTCCAATCAATCGATGTGGCATACAGTTGAATCCAAAGCTCCTGAAAACAGAAACACCCTTCACGCCTTCCCCGGCAAACACGGGCAAAAACACTGTTAAGTTTAACCAACTGCTACCTAAGCCATCATTTCTTCTTTGAAGCTACAAATCAATAATTTGAATACCTTTTTCTTTTACTACTCAAAAACTTGAGATACTCATCATAATATAAAATAAAGAAGACTTTGAATAGATGCCTCAAAATTATATGGCATCAAGAAGCTATTGAACAGATACATGCAGACTACGTCGTCTGTATGACGTCTCACTTTCGTTACTCAACCCATACTTTAGCCAATGAAGTCTATCGGCATTTCTGAACTTGAGCATGTCAAATTTCCAGCGACACAACTGGAATTATCATGAAAATAGTTAACACATTTGTAACACATATTGAATTTTTTAGCTCTCCTTCTTCTGGCAAAAGAACTTTTACCATGAAAAGGTTTTGCTTGAGCAGCAACGATTTCTTTTGATCTAATAATTCTTGCTTTTGCAAAAATTAACATCTTGATATCACAAGGTAAGCATGTTACTACCTTATTGATACAACACATGAAAGTGACAACTCTACCATCAGTATGAGTTATCTTCTTTTGATTAGAGCTAACAGAACTAAGCTCCATATTTTGAAGAATTTTGAATAAAGGAGAAAGAGGTTTTTCTCTCTTTTTGGGGTATTCTCACTTTCACTCGGAATTTCTCTCTTTGATGCAAGAAACTCTCTTGTGAGGAAATCTACAAGAACATTAGTTTTTCCAGGTATATAAAGAATTTTGAAATCAAAACAAGACAAAATAGTTTGCCATCTAGTAAAGATATGCTTTGAGACAAGATTTTTAACATCTTTTTGAAGAACATCTTTTGAGACTTTACAATCAGTTTTGAGAATAAAATTTTTATTAATTA